GTCTGGCTTGAGCAACCCGGGGCATGGTATTGTTACTGCAGTGGGGCAGTGCAGGGGGTCAGGGTTGGAGGGATGTAGAAATTAAGAGTTCTGTTTTCAACAAACTAAATTTGAGATAACAGCAAATGACTGACTCAGCAGATGCTGTCTGTACCAAGCAATGTGGCACAAGGGTGCGAGAGGCAGCGGGCCTGGCCGATGGACGGTCCTACCCCATCCTCTTGGCTCAGGAATGAACATCCAACCCCTGGCAGGGCAATTAAGATCTTCCCTGAGCTTTTGCTGGAATAATCAGGGCAGACATTCTCTGTATGCTTCGAGACTGCTAGCTGTGAAGTGCTTCAGGAGGTCACTTTGTCTACCACATGGCTAGATCCTGCCCGAGCGGAAAGACAACACCCAGGAAAGACATAATGATAAGGACAGAGAGGGATGGGGAGGAACCAGGCAAACTAAATAATATTAGTAGCTGGATCCAGCCATGTCTAAAGCAAGATGCATTCCTGAACTTCTCAGCTACAGGAGCCAACACACTGTATTTTTGCTTAAGCTAGTTTGAGCTCAGTTTTCCTTTCTTGCAGCTGAACAAGTCCCAGCCAACTGACAGGTCTATAAGAACATATGCTTGTAAATAAACTTTTATCTTTTGACAGGAGAAATGCTCAGTACATCAAATTCTTTAGCCATTTTTTCCCTTTAAAAAACATTATCTTAAAAAACAAACAAACAAACAAAAACCCATTATCTTCTTGTATCTTAGCGATGCCAAATTCCGCTTATTTTTATTCAGGCCTGTCTGGAAACAAGCTCTGAGGATCAGGTTAACATTACCTTATTGCTGCACTGGCTTTATCAAAAGCCTGTTTTGGGCAAACGAGCAATGGCCTGTTGAGCATTATTTAGCGCTGGGCAACTTAAGCTTATGGGTACCAAGCTGCTTCAAAATCAAAGCCATGCAAATCTTTGCCTCATTTTTCATGTTGATGTGAACTTACTTTATAAAAGCATGCAAATTGTTCAATTACACACTCTGAATTAAAAGGCAAATGGCCCACTGGGTCGACGTGACTGGGGACTGCTGATTTACAAGGGATCATCAGTAATTAAAGATAAAGCTCCCTGAATCTTGATCTGAAATCAAATGGATGCAGGGCACAAGGAAATGAGGAGGTTCAGTTACAATTAGAGCTGGTTTCTGATGACACTTTAAACAGAAATGGATGTCTGAAGAAACCCTGGGAAAGGGATGCTGTGTTGGAGAACAGGGTGCTTGGGCTCATAGTGGTCTTGGCAGTCTGGGGTTTCAAAGGGAGCAATTACATAAAGCTTTAAATGGCTTGAATTCCTGAAGGAAATGCTGCTATGCTATAGTTTACAGATACAATAAAATATGAAGAAAGACTAGACATAACACTTTAAGGTAAAAGAGCAAAGACTGTCAACAGAGAAATAATAGGCTTCCTCTGATATTTCACTTTAGAGGTGGGCGGGAGTCAAAATTTAAAATGCATGAAAACACTCCTTTAAATGGATGCTGTGTTTCTGACTTTTTTTATCAGTTACCAGAGCCTGGCCTTTTAAAATTGGCTTATTTGTCCTTAATGAGTAACTTTAACTCTCTGATTGCTTATGCAAGTCACACGCTGGTGAATGAAGGATACAGGCTGGCCCTTAGGGGCAGTTTTTCTAATCGATAATTTCGCTTGCAGGAGGGAAGGTTTTTAGGAAGAAGCCTCTAGAAGTGAAGGAACTGGAAAAACAAGAAAACACTTCAGATTCACTCAACATGTCAAAAATGACATCCTAAAGGTCAGAAAGCAGATGGTAACTTAAGAATATAGTAGTAGTGTTAATAACAAAGAGGACATGTTAAAATGAGCACATCATGGTTAGAAACCTGGTATTCAAGAGTGGCATTGGGGGCCATCAGAAAACCAGAGCATGTCATTAAATGCACTGACTAAAGAACTGATCAACACCAAGAAGATCTCTTTTCTTTCCTTTTAAACAGGGCTCAAAAATTTGTTTAATAATGCTAAGAATAAATATTAGCAAAATACTGTGCTGTTGACAAATGCAACTTTCATAAACATTAAAATTATTACAAGGAACCTATAAACTAGGTATTTTTAAGACAAATTTACAAAGTATAATATTATACACATTTAACTTGATTATATTAGTAAATTTTATATTAAGAATGTCATATATCAAGTAAGTTAAATATTAATTATATATCATATTAAAACATTAAATGCATTCAAGTACCTGGGACTATCTGGCTAGATGGCAGGACTGGGACTTGAAGTGAGGTTCTATTACTCCCAGTCCTGTCTCCTTCCTGGATCACTGACATGCAAGCTACACTGGGTTCCTTCATTCTCCTGGTACTGCTCAGACTAAAATCAAATTAGTAAGGGTGTACTGAAGCCCATTTGTACAGACCGACTTATGTCCTGTGACCATTTTTTTTTTTTTTAGTTCTACCACTTTATTGCTACCAACCCATCTCCCTCCACCCTCGTGCACACATGCTCAGTCATGTAACCCCATGGACTGCAGCCCGCAAGGCTCCTCTGTCCGTGGACTTTTCCAGGCAAGAATACTGGAGTGGGTTGCCATTTCTTTCTCCACTGTGACCCTTTTAAAAGGGAGAATTACCTACATGGAGGAGAGCTGGGCTCTAGCCACTTTCTAGGTCAACAGGCTTTGCCAGCTCGGTTCGAATGTGAGTGGGAGATGGAGAGGAGGAGATGGAACAGGAGAGGGAGAGAATCACCGATGGAGCACTGGAAGGGGTCACGATGATTATCCAGTCCAGCTCCTACCGAAGTAAATGGCAGGATAGAACCCATGCTGACCACGTCCTGTCCTCTTCTCTACACAAGAGAAACTGCGGCTCCGGCATTCTATGCTTTACTAAGACGGCTCTTTGTACCTGGCTCCTGCCACAGACAACAGGAGGTCAGTCAAAATCCACCTGAGGAAAATATGGTGGTCCTAAAAGTTAAAGGATGCCACCATCTCCTTTTCCTTAAGTCAATTCATCTAATATTTACTGGATTGCTACTATGTTTGTGTTGTGGAATGTATGAATATTTAGGGATGTGAACAATATACAAACCTGCCTTCAAAAAGTTAATGCTTTAGAGGCAATTTAGTCCCTAAATAATAAAACTACTATAAAATAATTCAGTTTCTAGATCAGTGGTTCTCAGGCTCTTTGAGGTTCCCAGGCTCTCTGAGAATCTGACATAAACTACCAATCTGCTCCCCAGAAAAATCCACACATTTCTGTACATATTCAGGCAGTTGCTGGATCTCCTAAAGCCCACCTACTGACCATGAATTAAGAGGTTCTGTTAAGAGAGTCACTGAGTTCCACCACATAAAAATTATCTGAACAGCCAAGACAGAGAGAGAGCTAGTTATCCTTTTTCTCTGCTGCAAAATGAATAAACTTTAGAAACATTATATCATTCCATGTTCAGGCAAAGAAAGAGCTTTCCTTAGTACTTATCTGAATGTCCCTCTACAAACACTTATTTTCCTACATCTAACTGTCTGTGTGTTTTATTCTATGAGACTATGTCATTTGCATCCAGAATATCTGGAATAGCCTTTTCATGTATATATAAAAATACAAAGATAAACTTCATTAAAAGCAGAAGAAATGGAGTTTAGCTTATGAATTATTCTATTTCAAATTTTTTAATCTAGCTCGGAATGCTGTTTCTAAGGCTTTGATGCTGAAGGGAGTGAAGTCATTAAGATGAGTTGATAATACTGCCAGCATGAGCACTTTCCTACTCTTTGGTTAAAGAAAAAGTATTTAGGTCTTTGGAATTCAAATTTCTTTCTTAATGAAAAAGTGAAAGGATGAAGCGTAACAGTAAAGAAATCTCTACAGAAGTGGGAACCTGCACCATCAATACCGAAGTTTCAGAAATAATTTCCTGAAGCTTTGAATACATTAAAAAAAAAAAAAAAACACCCCCACGGAGCCATTTGTGTTAAAATATTTTACAAAACTAGTTATCTTGTTACATATTCTGAAGCAAATAAATGGAGCAGCTAGAATTAACACATTCCTGGGTATCCTGGCAAGGTGGATAAAATGATAAAGAAAGCTGGGTAAGAGGACAAAAGTAAAGCGGTTTCCATCTAAGTTTTAAAAACCTGTAAGTAAAATACTGCTATAATTCAATATGACACTTTGCTAAGCTTAGGTGTGAGGAAGGTAAACAGAAGGAAACGTGACCCAAAGACTACAAAAAGGGTTTTGATCCCTTCCTTGTGTCCAGCATTTTAAATGGATTAGAAACACAGATTATTAGCAGATAGGTATTAATACAAAAGTCTGGAAGAGTGATAAAAAAATGATTATTCATGGAACAAAAATTTTCTAAAACATCAAGTTATTAAAATTTTCCTTGAAAATGGAGAATAGGCCAACCCAAGCACAATCTCAACAAGCACCGTGAGGCTCTACAGCTCGTCTGCAAGGACCTAATGTTAGTGCTAGATGATTAAAAAAAATCCAGAGAGAACAGCTCACAAGACAGGGATAAACACTCACTGTGAGAAACACAGTCACTCTTAGAGGTGAGCTTTTCCAGAGGGAGGCAGAAGAACAAATGAAAGACTAGAAATGCTATAAACAAAGAGACTTCAGGCTTAACATCAAGGATCATTCAAAAGGAGGACAAATCCGCCTTTTCTTCATATGAGCTACTGATACTAAATGTACTGAAAATTAAAACAATGAAGCTGAGATTAAAAAAAGAAACAGAAAGAAAGAGGGAGGAAGAAAGAAAAGGGGAAGACAGGAAGGAAGAAAAAAGACTATACTGAGACATCTTTTCCATGTTGGAGCAAAGCCTGACACCAGCATAGGTGCAAGTGAACTGACTAATTCACGATACACTTCTCTTCAGTAAAGCGGTGTTAATGAAGCCTATTTATATCTGTTTAAAGGATCAATGTGAGCATATACATACCACAGGTTGTTTTGTGATGTCCACCAAGTCCTTCAGATTATAATACTGATGCTTCTCAAAAGCTGAAAACAGCATGTCCAAAACGTGTTGTTTATCAGCTCGGGCTCGTTTTCCATCTTCTTTCTTTTTCCTTTCATATTCAATCTATGTGAAAAAGCAAAAATCCCGAAGGCATCAGTTCAATGTGCTCACTCTGAAACACAGGCATTCTTTTCCGTCCTCCACTATTAGATTTTAAATTGCAAGACAGCAGGTCAAAGAGTGGTGGCTCAGTACCTGTGGCCTTCACTGCTCCGAAGGCTCCTCAGACCTGTAAGGCTCCAGGAAGGTTAATGCCCACCTGTAAACCATTTTCACTGTTCCCTAAAGCTTTATGTAATGTGTCCATTTCCTCCCCCAAAGCCCATCTTTACCGAAATCACATCATGTGGATCACAAAGTCTATTTGCAACTCTTCGTTTTCGATTACCCAAAATACAGTAAAAGAGTTTATCTGCTCCATGTCATTTGGTAGATAATATCTTTCAAAATGAGAGTTTTTCAGGGCAGGAAGAAGGCTGAGGGGCAGGCAGATTAGATAACAGGTTTTCTAGGGAGGAAAAACTTGGGAAACCTTGGTAAAAAGGAAAGAACAAGGGTGGTGACGGGTGGCCTTTTCTCCTCCCAACCCCGTGACCTCCTTGAACTGGCTTCTTCTATAAAATGAAGTAAGCAATGGCACAAAGAGAATGTATAAACTCTCTGCTGATGTCACCAGCCAGAGATGTGTGCATTTGTAAAAAAGTTAACTTTTTATTGAAAACATGCAATTTGCTTGCATTCATGTCAGTTGATTAAGCTTTTAATTTCTTTTGTTTTTACAGATAAACTTTATCTTGATAAAGCCTCAGAAACTTGTTAGAGGACAGATATATATAAACTGTAGGGCTTCCTTGGTGGCTCAGTGGTAGAGAAGTAGCCTGCCAATGAAGGAGATGCAAGTTTGATCTCTAGGCCAGGAGGATTCCCTGGAGAAGGAAATGGCGACCCACTCCAATATTGTTGCCTGGAGAATCCCATGGACAGAGGAGCCTGCTGGGCTAGTCTGTGGGGTCGCAGAGAGTCAGACATGACTTAGTGACTAAACAACAAAAGAGGCTGCAGCAGCCCACCTGGTCAATAAAGCATCAGCAGGCTGGGTAAAAGCTGTCAGAGAGCACCTTTTGTGCATCAACAGAATTACTGTAAGATAGGGACCAGCTTCAAAGATGGAGAAATGCATATCAAAACGTACAACTAAATTATGTACAAATTCCAGCTTCATATGGTTAGGCTTATTCTCTGTATTTTAACAAAAGAGATGTAAAAAAAAAATCTAATTTCTATTGATGTTAAAACTAAAAATATACCTTAAATATAATCATAGACTCAAATTAGAGGCAAGAAGTAACTCTGATAACAGTATTGGTCTTTCAAAAATAAAATTAGGAGCTAGACAAGGAGAAAGCACTAAACTGAATGTCTTAATTTTTGTGATATGTATACCTAGAGAGTAAAACTCGAAATCCGTTCAGCTCCTCAATAGATTAAGCATGGATTAGATGCTTGGTATTGCACTAAAACTGAAGAAAATAGCAACCCACTCCAGTATTCCTGCCTGGGAAATCCCATGGACAGAGGAGCCTGATGGGCTACCATCGGGTCATAAAGAGTCAGACATGACTTAGCCACTACACAACAAAACCAACTGCACTAAAATATGGGAGTAAATAAGATACTCTCTTTCAAAAGGTATCCCTTTCTTAAGGCTCATGCACTAAAATGTATACAGCAGGCCTTGAGTATTCTCAATGTAGTAATGTAGTAAAAGAGACCAGAGTTACCCAGGACAACTTTATGATGTTGGGAAAAAAGCATAAATGCAGGGCACAGACTGTATTGCTGGGGAGGAATGAAACCCAGCCCAGCATCAGGTGAAAAAAAAAGGGACGTGTGGTCAAAGGCAGAAGCACAGATTCTGCCCCAATTCTGCGAGAAAGGAGGCTGCAGAGCTATAGCCAAGACCAAAAGAGATGGACTTGAGGGCCACTCAAGATAGAATTTTCTTTCTCTCGGGTTAAAAGGAGGATAGAACTAAGACAGTGACTGTATGACGGAGAAAGAAAGCACGACAGACAAAGCCCACAGATCTACAAAAAGGAGGGTCTTTGGATTAAAAAGAGGAATCACATCACGGAATACCTTAAGTGATTAAAGTGTAAGCCTTGCTTTGCTGACCAATGTCTAAAATATGTCATATTTTCCCCGTTTATAACTGTACTCAGTTTGCATCTGGAAATTCCTTTCCACAGCTGCACTGTGCTTGAAAGGGTTTGCTCTGTCCACTGTGATGGACAGTCTAGAAAGCAGGGCCGGAGGAAAGAGTATAAAAGTCCAGACCATTGGATAAGGACATGATAACCCTTTACTCCGACCAAGTGGCGGATAAGAGAAACTTGGCGTTTACAAAACAGAGGAAGGCAGAATCAGACTAAGGAGAGTGGAGAAAGACTGTTTCCTTCTCACAGGCCTGAGTGGGTGTGGGATTTCATTCAGCGAGCGGTCACTGGTCCTTAGGAAAAACCAGACAGAGAGGTGGGAACCTAGCAAAACCTATGCTTTTGTACTCTCAGTACGGAGCTACAGTTGTATGATATTCTGTCTTCTCTTCCATCCCAGCTTTAATTTATGCTGAAAGAAGATGGAAAAAGTTAAATTTAGGAAATAGGAAACAGAAGTTATGGTATATTCAGCTTCCACTGTTAGCCCTCTCTTCCTCATGTAAAATGACTTGAGAAGCCAGGAGGATGAACAGGAAAAATGTTTTCAAGCAACATAACATGCTGGCAAAGCAAGATAGTCCACTTTACAGAGGGAATACAGTCCACTAGGCAGTGGAGAGAAAAAGTGGTTATCAAGTTGCCCCAACCCTAAGAGCCATAGGTCAGACCCAAAAGGACTAAAGATAAGAACTGAGAATAAATTAGAAAGAAACTTCAAAATCAATACTGAAGGTATTGATTAAGAGTCAGATTAGGTTGTGATCTGTAATGTTAATGAGCAGTGAGAAAAGTACCAATTCTACACAGAAAATTTTCTTTTTAAATCTCGGTTTACATATTTCAATTTCAAAAACACTGCATTTAACATTGGTGCTCTCCTCCTTTAAAATGGGGAGAAAACAGACAAGACTTGTATGCTTATCTTTCTGTGTTAACCATACCTATTAATGGCTCAATAAAATTTTTGTAGTATGGCATTATTTAAATTTTTTTTATAATGTTTAAGCATTATTTAAAATTTTTTTTTTTTATAATGTTCAAGAGAGATCCATCACCCTGATACCTGTGGTATCAGGTGGTTCCAAATTACATGTAATTATAAAAAGGGACTACAATGATCCCATGATCATTATTAGCAAGTTAAGTATATTCATGCCAAAACTAATATCCCTGAGGTAACTTCTCTTTTTTAAGCTCATCAGTGTACAAATGGCAATCTTAATATTGTACTTATAACTCTGTACTAAAAATTAATTCCACAAATAAACTACACATGATATGTACTAGTCTATTTAGGAAAAGACTACTGTTTTGAAATAATGCTATTTCTTTTCCTTTTAGCTCTTTTCCCTGTGGGCATTTTGTTTTGCCCTGGCACTATAAGGAAAGACACTCAAAGCAATCAGATTTCCAACTTGTTCGCAGCCACCACAAAATACTACTGGGCTAGTTATTAGACTAAAAATAGCTTTTGTATTATATGAATTTTAGTTACTGACATCTGCCCCCAGTGACCATAAGCTAAGTCATCACCAGCTGCATAGAAATGTCAATTCAGAAAGAACTTTCATCTCCAGGTACAAATTTTTATAATCCCCAAATTCCATCATATACAATTTTACTTTGAAAATATAAAACAGATTATTCAATACTGAACTGCAACCAAATGTTGAGCACCCATTGTGGATGTGGTATAGGGCTGTTCAATTGTCATTACTGAGACAATAATCCCTGACTAAAATTATAAATGCCACCCACTTCCAATTAAAATATTATAATACAGATGTCTGTAAATTTCTAGATTGTTGTTTGCAGAAATACTTTGATTGCTTTGTCAAGGCAGTCTTTGTGGAGGTTTTTAACTTTTAAAGTGAGCCTGACAGCCTTGAATATCATGGTTTGCATTTTAAATCCTTATGAAAGATTCCCCTACCCCCAGTGCTTCTATTTCTGCCTAATATGTTGTTATCTCTTGGGAAGAAATTAATTCTTTAGGGTTGATCAGACTTTGGTGTGCAAATTCAAATGGACAAAGCATGTAGCATTTTTTTTTTAAACCATGTAGTATTCTTATACTATACTATATATTACAGTAGGCAAATATTGCTGAAAGGCCTTTAGATTCAGTCCTGCAGGCATCCACTTTAATCAACAAAATTTCAAATTTATATATATATTTATAAATATATATATAAATACTTAAAAACCAAACAAAAAGCCAAGCTGAAAAAACCCCCTCAACAACCTTAGTTCTGAAGATTAACACAGCTGGTTGCTCCACAGAATGAAACAGAGTATGCATATAATAAATTTTCTTTTTAGTTCCTGGGAGTTTACTTCAAGATTTTATGTAACAGTTCTGCTCCCTCCAACACTAATTTTCTAATTCAGTTTTTTCTAATGTTCTATCACTTTCAGACCAAGAGCTCTTGCCCGGGTGGGGAGAAAAGGAAAAGGAAGTCTTTTTTTTCAAGCTGGGGCGGGGGTGGGAGGGGGGAGGAAGTTGATGATAATAGAGACAAGAAGATACTAATTCTTTCTAAAAGCCTTAGGTTTAAAGGAGAGACTTCCTGCTCTCCCTTCCAGGTATCATTTTTGCTTCCCATGCCACAGGAGATGGCAGACAGAACTATAAAAATTTCCTGTCTCTCTGGATCAGAGGCTGAATGCTAGAACTACCTAGGTAAAAAATTTAAAGATAGTTGGCCTCCACATTAGATCAATACAACCAATCTCTGAAGGTATTCTTCTTTTTTAAAAGCTTCCCAGGTGATTTTAGTCTACAGCCAGCATTGAGACCACTGTCTAGACAACAGAGGTCACGATTTCTTATGAGAAAAGGGATTCCTTATGAGAAAGGTCCTATGACAGGAGACTACATAAAAGAATACTATGACATCTACACAGGCAGGATAATGATGTCCACAAAGTCAACCAGCACACAGAACATGCACAGGCACCCTTACCTGCAGTCAGGGATGGAGGCGGCTAAAAGGAGTCTTACACATCAGTGACTCCATGTTTGGATTATATGACTCCATCAGTAAAAAAAACAGCCTTTTCCCCCTGTCACACACCTTGTGGGCTCTTAGTTCCCTGACCACAAAAACAAAAGCTTTATACTCTTACTATAGTTGGGATTTTATTATAACGCTGACTATGCTTTTAAGAGCTACACAGGTGCCTCCACCAATTTCCGACATACTCCCATGTTGGGGGGGGAGTGGGAATCACTAAACATTCAAGCGACGTAATATGGTAGCTTACAGTCAATCTTTGTTAATTAAAGATTCCTATATGACTCATCACTATAATTACATTAATATTAATGACTCATTCATGCTATGACAACCTTAATAAAGGTTGATACCATGAACTGAAATGTCACCTGATGTTAAAGAGTCTCTTTAAAAGGGATGTGACAGCTTTATATCCTAACAAGTGGTTCAGAATACAATGTATTTGTACTTATATTAGTAGTAAAAAGAGAGCAATGAAAAGCACTCCAAAAATATGACACTTGGAATTTGTCCTTCTATACCTGCCAGGTAGATATAGTGCCAACGTCACTCTGAACATGAATTAGAGGTCAGAGCTTTGATACAAGCAAAAGTGCCAGCTCTGACCTAAAAGAGATTTTCCTTTTGCCTCAGAAATGATGGTATGTAAGCAGTATAACAAGAGTGACCCTTGTAATGGAACTAAAGAAAAAAACAATTGCAATTTAAAAATGTGGTCAAAGGAAATACAGATTACACCAGAACAGGGTCTGAAAGGGCATGACCAGAGAAACTGAAAAAAATGGTAGCTCCTTGAAGACAGAAACTTTATTTATTTGGTTCGCCAAGAGTAGGTATCTTAGGCACAAAGCTGGTATTAAAAAAAAAAAACACAAAAAACATTTTCTGTTCAGAGGAGACAGATTTTAGGTAACTGTGGTAGGACACTGTCATGGCTAAGTACTAACACTTTTTCCTAGCTTTCCTCCTTTTCTCATAGCAACAGAAAAACTTTACACAGTAAAACTTTCACTTTTCAGACAATAGGTACTCACGAGTGATAATTCCAACAATTAAAAAAGATCGACAATTCCAAGAATTCAAAAAGATTTCATGAAAAAGACAATTAGGATAAAATCACTCTAGCACCTATCACTAAAAAAATAACAATTGTTAAAGTACTGAATTAATCCTTATTTTTGGACATTTCTTTCTAGTCTTTTCCTATTATAAACAATAGAGAGAAATGGAGTGTAGCAATTTTTAAAATTTGGATGTCTTTAGAAGGGGCACATGCACTTCAGTTCATCATAGTCTCTACCATTTACCTTCTTAAATTTTAGCATCCTACCCAAGAAGATGCCTGCTTGGCCCTGGAGGCATCTACATTTGCTACCTGTCTTCATAAAATAACCATAAGATATTCAAATATGATAAAGTAGTGGTTGGGCAGATACTAACCTGCATCATTTGATAAGCTTGGAACTTAAAGGCCAAGCTTAAAAAAGGGTATTTATTTCTTCCTAAATGCAGTATCAAGGGGAAATCTTGAGCAACAAAGCAGGACACAAAGGTACCAACTCTCAGCTGCTACTTGACTTAATTGGACTTCCTTTTATTCTCAGAAAATTGTCACTTTCTCCTTACACTGCAGGTACCTCAAGATCCAAATCACTTAGCTCTTTAGGCACTGCTAAGGGTCTACAGCAACACAGGTTTCTTAAGAGGAAGGCTCCTACTCACAGACACAGAAAACAAACGTACGGTCATCGCAGGGGAGACGGGCAGAGGGATGGACAGACAAATACTGCTATATATGAAATAACCTAAATGAAAAAGAAACACACACACACAGACACACGGGCTCCCCTGGTGGCTCAGAAAGTAAAGAATCTGCCTGCAAGGCAGGAGACCCAGAGTCAGTCCTTGGGTCAGAAGGATCCCCTGGAAAAGGGAATGTCTACCCACTTTAGTATTCCTGCCTGGAGAATTCCATAGACAGAGGTGCCTGGCGGGCTACAGTCCACGGGGTCACAAAGAGTCGGACATAACTGAGCGACTAACACCATCAGCACACATATATACACACACGTGTATATACATGCATACACATATATATAATCACATCACTCTGCTGGATACCGACAACTAACAATATTGTAAACTGCCTATACTTCAATTAAAAAAAATTGCAAGGCTCTTAAACCAGGTTCCACGGTTCAACATCTGGACAGTTTGATTACTGGCTGTGTGACCTCAAGGAAGCTAACCTCTCTGTGCCCCAGATCCTTCATCTGTAAAGTAAGGATCACATCAATAATGACAAGTTAGAACCGCAGTACTGCCTGGCACGAAGTACACATAACATGTACACATGTGTGTACTATATATATACATAAACTGGGTACGTGTACAAATAAATACACTATATATTTATAAAGTCTGCCAGTCGCTCAGTCATGTCTGACTCTAACCCAAGGACTGTAGCCTGCCAAGTTCCTCTGTCCATGGAATTCTCCAGCCAAGAACCCTGGAGTGTGTTGATATTTCCTTTTCCAATAATATATAATAAATATAGTACATACAATATACTTTAATGAAAAAGTTTTTTTACATACAGGCAGCCCACACTTCACATAGTAGTGTGAGGCTGTAAAAATCCCTATAAAAGCTGAAACTAGGCAAAGCAATCTTAATAATGGGAAGAATGACCATTGGTTCATGATCTTACTCTCAGTTATAAAAGTATAGAAAACAACTCTAAAGCTAATATATTTTTTTAAGGATACTATGCTTCAAAACATTAGAAACACTGAAGAAATATTTTATTTCTCTGAAAAACTTTTCAGCAGTCATTTCAACAGTGGTTGTCTTCTTCTCATTGTATGACTCTGGCTATGGAGTGAATACCTTTCTAAGCTCGGCAAACTGTTACGTTGCCCACTAAGCCTGGATACCTCAAGCAGCTGATAGCAAGGTGTGTGACTGCTGAGGTCCTTTCAAAACCTAAGAGTCTATGACATTAAAGACAGACCAGAATGAAGAAAGACATGAAGACTTACATTGTACTGATGATTAGCAACAGGCTTGTAATTGGTTGTCACGACTTTCTCCAGCTGCTGCGATAGCCTTACAGGTTTGGAAGATTCTTCTATTTGCAATCTGAAAAACAGAAGGCATTATCAACAAACTTACTTGTTTATTACAGTGAAACCTGAACAGGTATTCTGATAATTCTTCTTATCAAGACCTAATACTTCACATACAAAAAGATATATCAGCCTTAATACTTCAAAAACACACTATACATGACTATAACGTGGAAAGCAGACCACCAGCTAAACATACAAACCATCTCATTATTTCTACAACTTCCTTCTAAATCTTATACTGTACAGTCAAACCTTAACTTTTAAAACAAAGAAGCTAACCAGCTTTAAATTTGTGGGGAAAAAAATTTGCATGTAAAACTGAATTATCTTAAGTTACATGGTCTAAAACTAATCAAGGTATTTGTACAAAACTTCCATTCATCTGACAGAAGTATATAAAAACAGGACACATCAGCACTCGGGCTAGCAGCTGCTTCACTGGACAGTGCAGATAAGTGACCCATCTGAATTAAAATACAACAGAAAGTAGCGCTTCTGGAAAAAGAACTACAAAATAAACAGATGACACTATGTACAGCGTATTATAAATACTAGTACATATTCAAACGGCAATTTTAGGAGATTTTGTTTTGGACTAAATATTACCATGGGCTTCCCTGGTGTCTCAATGATAAAGAATCTACCTGCCAATGCAAGAGACGTGGATTTCATCCCTGGGTGGGCAGATCCCCTGGAGCAGGAAATGGCAACCCACTCAAGTGCCTTGCCTGGGAAATCCCATGGGCAAGAAGAGCCTGGCAGGCTATAGTTCTTTAGGGCTATAAAGAGACTGACACGTCTTACCAATTAAAGAACAACAACAACATGTACTACCATATCCAGTGACTCACATTCAACCATTTACTACTTATTTTATTTTATTTTTTTTTTTTACTACTTATTTTAAAAATTAAACTATTCTGGTATATGAGCACAGTAAATCTAAAAAAAAAGTTTTAAGGTGGGAAAAGGTATAGCTTTCCAAAATGACTACTTTTTTCCAAAGTAACTATTTTTAAAGGACAAGAGGCACCACTGTACCTCTAGACTTCTTAACTTAAAAGCACTACAGGAAAAATACTTGCCAGCCATATCTAGCTAAATTATAATCAAAGAGTAAGAATGAAAGAAAAATACTCATACAAAAACATGGATCCTCACCAAGAGAACTACTCAAGGATTCATTTCAGCAAGAAGTTAAATGAACTCCAAAGGAACGAGTGAAATGCAATGATCACAGCAAAGAAATTGAGAACCATATTAGAAAATTATCTACTTGATACAGCCCAAAAAAAGAAGATATAGTTTTAAAGAAAGTGGAACTTAACATGAAAGATAGGAAGAGATCAGAATGAAGGCATTTAAAATTCCCATATACTTTCTAAATTTTCTGTAATAAGCATCTATCACTTTTATAATCAGAAAAGTAAGTATACTTCTTTAATAGGAAAAAGAAATATTGTTTCTTGGAAGGTTAGTTTGAAAGCTATAAAAATGGTGCTCATTTAAAAATAATATATGTTGAACATATTACTTTCTTTTAATGGGACTTTAGAAATAATTTTCATTTAAAATTCCTTCAAAGGAACAACTTGCCATATAAAAGGTAACTTTTTTTTTAATAACATTATTATTAATTTGTTGGATGGAGCTTCTTTTCTGTTTCCTTCTGCTTATTTTTAGGTGGTTGTTGTTCAGTCACTAAGTGGTGTCTGACTCTTTGCAACTCCACGGACGACAGCATGCCTGGCTTCCCTGTCCTTCACTATCTCCTTGAGTTTGCGCAAACTCATGTCCACTGAGTCAGTGATGCCATTTAACCATCTCATCCTCTGTCACTCCCTTCTCCTCTTGTCCTCAATCCTTCTCAGCATCAGTGTCTTTTCTAGTACGTCAGCTCTTCACATCAGGTGGCCAAAGTACTGTAGTGTCAGCTTCAGCATCAGTCCTTCCAATCAATGTTCAGGGTTGATTTTCTTTAGGATTGACTGGTTTAATCTCCTTGCTGTCCAAAGGATTCTCCAGAGTTATCTCCAGCACCCCAGTTTAAAAGCATCAATTCTTTGGTAGTCAGCCCTCTTCATGATCTGACTCTCACATCCGCACATGACTAGTGAAAAAACCATAGCTTTGGCTATACGAACCTCTCTCAGCAAAGTGTTATCTCTGCTTTTTAATATGCTGTCTAAGTTTGTTATGTTATAGCTTTTCTTCCAAGGAGCAAGCATCTTTTAATTTTGTGGCTGAAATCACCATCCACAGTGATTTTGGAGTCCAAGAAAATAAAATCTGTCAGTGTTTCTACTTTCCCCCCATCTATTTGCCATAAAGAGATGGAACCAGATGCCATGATCTTCGTTTTCTGAATGTTGAGCTTTAAGCCAACTTTTTCACTCTCCTCTTTCACTTTCATCAAGAGGCTCTTAGTTCCTCTTCGCTTTCTGCCATAAGGGTGGTGTCATCTGCATATCTGAAGTTGTTGATATTTCTCCTAGCAATCTTGATTCCAGCTTGAGCTTCATCCAGTCTGGCATTTTGCATGATGTACTCTGTATAGAAGTTAAATAGGCAGGGTAACAATATACAGCCTTGATGTACTCCTTTCCCAATTTGGAACCAGTCCTTTGTTCCATGTCTGGTTCTAACTGTTGCTTCTTGTGCTGCATACACATTTCTAAGGAGGCAGGTAAGGTGGTCCAGTGTTCCCATCTCTTTAAAAATTTTTTCCACAGTTTATTGTGACCCACAGTCAAAGGCTTTAGCATAGTCAATGAAGCAGTAGTAGATATTTTTTTGGAATTCCCTTGCTTTTTCTATGATCCAGTGGATTTTAGAAATCTGATCTCTGGTTCCTCTGCCTTTTCTGTCCAGCTTGTACATCTGGAAGTTCTCAGTTCACGTACTGCTGAAGTCTAGTTTGAGGGATTTTGAGCATAATCTTGCTAGCATGTGAAATGACTGCAACTGTACGGTAATCTGAACATTCTTTGGCACTGCCTTTCTTTGAGATTTGATATATAATACCAAATTCCTCAGGAGATATTAGAGATCTACCAATTAGTTGTTTTCTTTCTTTCTTTTTTTAATTTGAAAGATGTTGGTTGTTACGGAAGTTGCTTTCTGAGAGAGTGTCTGGAGCAGTGTGGTGCTTGTGAGCTTCCAGCACAGCATACCGGGGCCAGGGCCAGAAGTTGCAGAAGGTGATGGTGCAGCCCATCAGTCTCATCTTCAGATACTTGCAAAATAGATCGTGGATTCAGGTGTGGCTTTATGAGCAAGTGAATATGCAGATAGAAGGCTGTATCATTGGTTTTGATGAGTATATGAACCTTGTATTAGATGATGCAGCAAAGACTCATTCTAAAACAAAGTCAAGAAAACAACTGGGTTGGATCATGCTAAAAGGAGATAACATTACTCTGCTCCAAAGTGTCTCCAACTAGAAGTGATAAATGAAGTGAGAAATTGTTTGGCAATACCGTTGGTTGTTTTAGGTGTTTTGTTAGAGATGTAGTTCTAAAACATGTATTCATATTGTTCTGCTCATGCTTATGTTATTACCAGATGACAATAAATGCTGTGGGACTGTTTTTATTAAAACAAAAAAAAAAGCTGTAAATACTACTGGTTTTGTTTTTAACTGTGATTGCCAAGTTGAGTATAGTTATTTCAGTATTAAAATATATTTTAATTCTTCCAATTTACAAATCTATATACATCCTTTAACTATATAAGATTGTAATTTTATGAAGTGTAAAAAAAGTACTCTAGAAATGTCTACAGAAATTTACTGTACATGTAACCATAAATTGTATGTATTGTGTTACTTTGTTTTCATTGGCCAAGTAGAGTTTCTATAAACTAGGAAGAAAGCACTAGCTAGAGACCTAGAAGGGAGATATCCACCCAAAGATGGACTTGGGTTTACAATCTTTCAATGGCCTGTTAACTGCTCTTGGGTGATGCACAAGCTTCTTCCCATGACTGCATGTCATTCTGGGATCTAGCAACTGTTCCCTCTCCAGCTCAATCCACTGTTCTCCCTCATGTGCGTCCCCATGGCTGCAGCTGTGCCATGCCCAGACTTTAGAAGAAGCTTCTTGCAGGCAGTCACCCAGCAAATCTTTACTGGGTGCCTATTCTTGTTGCTGTTAAGAGGCTCAGTTGTGTCTGACTCTGCGAACCCACAGGTTGCGGCACGCCAGGCTTCCCTGTCTTTACCATCTCCTGAAACTTGCTCAAACTCATGTCCATCAAGTAGGTGATGCCATCCAACCATCTCGTCCTCTGTCTTCCCCTTCTCTTTCTGCCTTCAATCTTTCCTGGCATCAGGATATTTTCTGGGTGCCTATGCCTACCAAGAAAAGACTTGCTTAGTGGAAGACAAACATTAAACAAATGTTTACCTATAACTGGCTATCTGCAGGACTGAAGAGGGCAGGCGGTTGGTATTATGACAACTGACTGTGTGCTACTATGAAGTAAAGAATAACTCCAAGATGTGCACTTGGTAAGCTGAAGCAGGACAGCCCATGTTCGTAAGAGGTGAAGCCCTAAAGACTCAGCGGAAATGATTCCTCCAAGCCGAGAAGATGTCTCAAAGTGACTGAGAGATAAACGTTTAGAAAGAAACAAACAGTTGCAGACAGGTATAGGAATGTTTACAAAGGATTAGAACTATGCTGCTGCTGCTGCTAAGTCACTTCAGTCATGTCTGACTCTGTGCAACCCCATAGACAGCAGCCCACCAGGCTCCTGTGTCCCTGGGATTCTCCAGGCAAGAACACTGGAGTGGGTTGACATTTCCTTCTCCAATGCATGCATGCATGCTAAGTCACTTCAGTCATGTCTGACTCTGTGCGACCCAATGGACAGCAGCCCACCCGGCTCCTCTGTCCACAGGATTCTCTAGGCAAGAACACTGGACTGGGTTGCCAGCAAGGAGATCAAACTAGTCAATCCTAAAGGAAATCAGTCCTGAACATTCACTGGAAAGTCTGATGCTGAAGC